CATTTCAAAATGTTATATTAAAAAATTCATAGGGAGTGTACCCTTTGGGATTGACTTTTCTCACACATCATACTTGCCTGGAGATTCATCTAAGCATTGCCTGAACAGTAGTTAGCTTCTTTTTATTACTGAATGTTGTTCTGGGTGATGATGTCCCACAGTTTGTTTTATCACTCACCTTTTAAAGGACGGCTGGGCTGATTCCAGTTTTGGCCTGTCACAAATAAAGCTGCTCTGAACATTCCTATGCAGGTTTTTTTGTTTTTGTTTTTTTGTTTTGTTTAATGAACATAAGTTTTCATTTCACCGGGATAAATGCCCAAGGGTGCAAATACTGAGTTGTATGGTAGTTACATGTTTAGTTTTGTAAGACTGCCTGACTGGTATCCAGAGTGGCTGTAATAGTTTACATTCCCACCAGCGATCTATGCTTGATCCAGTTTCCTCACATCCTGGCCAGCATTTGGTGTTGTCACTCATACTTTAGCCACTCTGATCCGTGGTGTGTGCTAAGACAGAAAGGCTGGAGGGGCTGGGGTTGGTTAAGCTCCAGTATAGTAATTTCTCTTGAGGGCAGGAGGGGAACAGAAAGCTCTGAGTGTCCTTCAGAATGGCTTCAGCTGCCGTAACAAAGTGCAGTAAGCTGAGAGACTTCACAGAAATTTATTGTCTTGTAGTTCTGGAGGCCAGAGTTCAGGATGAGGGACTGGCTGCCTTGGTTCCTGGTGAGAGCCCTCTTCCTGACTTGCAGACAGCTGCCTTCTAACTAGGTCCTCACACGGCCTTTCCTCCACAGGGCCACACAGAGGGAGAGATAGTGCTCTACTTCTTCTTAAAAGATCATAGTCCTGTCAGATTAGCACCCTACCCATATAAACTCATTTTACCTTAATTACCTCCTGAAAGCCTTATCTCCAAATACAGTCACATTGGGGGTTGAGGGCTTCAGCATAGGAATCTGGAGGGGACACAGTTCAGTTCATAGCAATTACTTTACCCCCACTTGCTGGAAGCTTGAGGGGATTTTCTCTGATGTTAAGGGCAGGAACCTGGTATGTCTCAGGAAAATTGGGGGCTCCTCTGAGACCATGTTAACTCTCAAGCCAGCCAGACACAGCCTCCAGTGTTCATCCTTATGGTGCCCATTTCCCTTCCAGTTTCAGGCTCCAACCTCTGCTCCTGGTAAACTCTGAATCCTTAGCCTGTCTCTCCAGTTTTCAGGGTGTTGGTTTGCCCTTTGACCACAATTCTCTAAGGTTTCAAAGAGGAGTTGTTGATTTCAGTTTACCCAGCCTTTTTCTTATTGGGGAGATGGAGCTTTTTACATGTCAGTCCAGTATTATTTTTTTTTTAAGATTTTTTATTTATTTATTTGAGAGAGAGAATGAGATAGAGAGCATGAGAGGGGAGAGGGTCAGAGGGAGAAGCAGACTCCCCGCTGAGCAGGGAGCCCGATGTGGGACTCGATCCCGGGACTCCAGGATCATGACCTGAGCCGAAGGCAGTCGCTTAACCAACTGAGCTCCCAGGCGCCCTAGTATTATTTTTTTAATTTGGGTTTCTGTATGTTCACTGTTAGGACACAGAAATAAAATGGGTTTTCAACTGCCAGTCCCCCCACCTTGCTGAACTCACTCATTAGTTCTCGGGGCAGGGGAGGGGAGGAGTTGCCACGCGTGGCTTCTCAAACCTGTGCCGTTCCTGAGGTCAGTCCCACAGCTCTTCTCTCCCAGTGCCGCCTCTGCCCACATGTGGCCACTGAGTGGCTCTGCCGTGGGAACTGCCTCAGACCACTGGTGAGAAGGTGGCTTGTCTGGGCTCCCAGCTCTGGGTGTTTGTGTCCATGGTGAGTGTGTGGTGGCCTTGCTTAGGCCTTCTCCATCAGGAGAGCAATTGCTGGGTTGATTTAGGATGAGAAGTTCAGACTGCATTTGCCTGCAGACCAACTTCCTGTGAAACGACCCATCTAGGGCTTTCCTGGGCCTCCCGTCCCCTTTCGGGCTTATTTCTAGGACATGCTTGTAAATGGATTCTAGGTATCCATTTATTTTCTTTCCCTCTGCTTTTTAGTATAAAAAGCTTTAAACACACAGAAAAGTTGACATAATGTGCACTGATCAGCCCCATACTACAATCTTAATTTGATAGTATTGTTAACAATACCATGAAGTACCGTAAGTATAGTTTTTGTTTATACCGGTCTTTGTATCTCTGTGTACTGTGTGTATATGTGTGTGTGTTTTCAAGCCATCTGAAAGTAAGTGACAGATACCGTGAGACTCTGCTTCTAAATAGTTCACAGGCAACTTCTGCCTAACCACAGTCCTACTGTAACACCTGAGAAACCTAATCGTAATCATCTAACACTATCCAATATTCCGACCATATTTACATTTCTCTAATTATTCAAAAATGTCTTCTGTGGTAAATTTTTTGGAATTAGGATTCATTTGAGGGTGATGCATTGAACTGTCAATGCTATTCTCGTGGCAGAAAAAAGCTCCTTGATTACACTCGCAGAACCGTGGGTCAGGGCTTCAGACAGGGCACGGGACAGATGCCCCCCGCCGCCTCTGCTTCCATCATGGGGGCTGGGAAGACTGGACAGCTGGGGTGACCCAGAGGCCAGGGCTGGAATCACATGTGGCTCCTCTCTGTGGGGCTCGGCTCCTTTAGGGAGTGTCACAAGGGGGCACCAGGAGGACCACAGGGCAGGCACAAGGCTTCTGACCTCAGGAGCATATCATCCTCACCCAGACCCCCACAAGGCACAGGGACGGACACAGGCTCCTCTGGGTGGGGAGTGTCCACTGCAGAAGGGGATGTGGGGCAGGAGAGGACGTTGAGGCCGTGTATGGAAAATATGGTCAGCCTGCCTCGATGTGTTTAGTCTTTTTAACCTGGAACACCTGATTCACCCCCACAAGGCTGTCTCTTTGAAGAGACCTGTAGGCCGTCCCACATTCTGAATCTGATAGTGTCGTTCAGTCTGCTTCTCTGTTCCTTATACTTCCTATAAATTGGAAACTAGGCCTAAAGGCCTGATCAGATTCACAGTAAGCCCATGTAGCACAGACATCCATTTGTTTTAAAATGTGACCAGGAGATGACTGCTAGCATCTTGTTGTCTTCTGCAATAAAACCCAGATGAGTGTAAGTTAGAATTAAGGAGGTGATGGACACAGACATGGGGAGGCAGAGGGTGCCCCATGCTCCCAGGAGGGTGCCCTGTGGGGCACACGTGAGCCTTGTCACAGGGAGCATTCCAGCAAGCCCCGAGTGAGGAAGTGTTAAAGGGGAGAGGCACGGAGGGACTGTATCCGTCAAAATTTTCGGTATCACACAAGACAAAGCCCACAAAAATATCCCAAATTCAGGGAGGCTAAAACAGCCTGCCTGGTAAAGGCACTGCCTGAGGGGAGGAAGGGGCATAATGGGCCAGTTGACAAAACTGGGATGCAGGTGGTGTGATTCATGTCCTGAAGCCAGACCTGCATGACAGTATGTGAAAACACATATACCTCTTTAGGAAACACCTAGTGCAGGGCCTCGTGTGTGTGTGTGTGTGTGTGTGTGTGTGTGTGTGTTGTGTGTACATGCGTGCATGCATGTACCTGCAGAAAGCATCCGCCACAAAGCACACGGGGGATGCTGCCAGCCGGTGAGCCTGGGTGACGGGTGCATAGGTGTTCTCTGTTGTAGCCTTGCCTGTGTTGTAGAGGTTTGAAATTATTTCCAAAGAAAGACTAAATATTAAAGGTAAACAGAAGAAAATTAACTGAATGAAGATTCCATTTCTGGCTGTTCATAAAATCAAGGCTGTCCTCCAGAGAACAAGATGAGTGTGTATCAATAGTGAAAAACAATTTTAATTTTCACAGTGAAATTTAATAAACACAAGAGAGTTCCATACCAGACATAATGGCCATGAGCTTATGATGCTTGGAAAACACCTCTTTACCCTCAGTACTGAGATTTTAAGGACAGGACGAGGGGGCAATCTCTTTACAGAGGAGAAGGAGCAGTGATCACAAGAAAAACATGTGGACTCACTAAGCATGAATAATCCAAATTGAAACAACTTCAGGGTTCCATCATCTGCTTCTCAAGTCCTCAGAAACGTAATAACACAGTGGTGGTTAGCGCCGCCCCGGGGGAGTGGCGTGCGTGCATGGAGAGCTGCGCCGGGAAGCCGTTCCCGCGATGCCGCTCTGCAGACACCTGGGGCTGCCGATGCTTGGCCTCGAGAATGGACGGACGGCTGTGGGGAAAAGCAAACAAGCAGCAGTGCGGTGTCTATGAAGATATGCACGACAAAGAGTTGAACGTAACTGGCATTTGCACGGTGAGAGACGGTAGGAGCAACGTTCTCGTTGCTGTTTCAGTTCGTGGCGCCTTCGCTTGCGCCCCGCCCCCACCCCCGGCCGGCATCTGTTGAGCATGCGCCGCCTGCTGGCCAGCGGGTACTGAGAAAAAGCAGAATACGCAGTTTAATCACCGCCTCGCCCTGCTGAAAGCTATGTCTGTGTGTTCAATGACAGAGATCAGAGGAGACTTTGATGAGCTTCATATACTTCAAGTTTAATTGGGTATTTTCCTTCAGATTGCTTCAAGTAATAATTGGAAATAACCATGAAAGAAATGAGAACAACGTGGAAGGTTTTCAGAGCAGTGGTTTGTATGTTCCTCATGTGACCACCCCTGATGGTCCAGATGTGTCTCCTCTGTTCCAGGGAGTGGAGCGGGCTTTCTCCTCTGTGGCACTGTGGCCGTCAGGGGCCGTATCAGTCCTGCCCTGGAGGACGCTGAGCACCTCCCCCACGAGATGCCAGTAGCCATCCCCTCCCAGCTGTGATAAGGAGCTTTGTCTCCAGACATTGCCCCATGTTCCTCAGGGAACAAAATCGTCCCTGGTCGGGAGCCACTGGAATGATCTGAATTGAGCTGCTGGTTTTAAAAAAATAACTTTGTCATCTGTATTTTAATCCATTTTGCTCCAGAGTCAGAAATGCAAGGATGAAGTGTCCCAGCTCAATCACAAGATCCTTCAGCTTGGAGAAGAGGCCTCTATCCACCAGGCCCAGAATGAGAAGAACTGCTTCACCATTCAGCTGTTAACACGGAGACTGGAGGAGGTGGGGCAGAGGGAGGGGTTGCAGGTGAGTAGAACATCAGGAACAGCCTTAAAAATGCCTGGAGGCAGACTCATCCCTCAGGTAAAGAGACTTAGTAAGTACATGCCTTGGAAAATTTGTCTGACTTCAGCAGCTTTTGCAAATCCTCAATATGAGAAAACATAGCAGAAAGGAATTAAGTCCTGATGCTAGGAGAGTAAATTGGTAGACCTCTCAGGAGGACATTTGGGCAAAATATACATTAAGTACCTCAAGAATGTCGGTGTGCTCTGACTAGAATTTTGCTTATGGGAATTTTATCTGATCATCCTGGAAAGACTTAGCTGAAGTATTTTCATTGCTGTGGTATTTATAATAGCAAAACAATTCAAATCAGCTTGAATCATCAATAATATTGAATGAATAAGCAAATTATGGTATAGCCATTAAAAATCATGTTTCAAATAATATTTAATGTCGTGGGGAAATGCTCAAGATAGAATGAGGAAAGCATAGGGTATGAAGCTGTGCTTATCTTACCGCTAGAAATGCACGTTTGGAGGAAGGGCTGAGATCACAGTGTCAGGTGTGGTCCTCAGCTGCTGGGATGATGGGTGATTTAAATTTCATAATCTTTGCTTTTCTGTACATTTCTGAAGTTTCTGCATGAAACATATCAATGCTGAGATATTTCTTATACTTGTGAAATTGATTTTTTTAAAAACAGAGTGAGCACATCCAAAAACTTGAACTTGAACTCGAACACAAAAATCAGGAATGTCAGAGCCTAAGACTGTCACAGTCACAGGTGAGAGAGACCCTCGAAGAAAGTCAAGACCAGGTAGGTGTGCATAATGGCCAGTGGCTGGGTCTCAGCCAGGAAGAAAGTCAACATGGTTTAGCACTGATGACAGAGCCTGGCCAGGACTGGTCTGGCCCACAGAAGTTATTAGCCTGGCCTGAGGTTACATAGCTGGTTGGTCGCTTACAGTCCAGGACTGAAGTCGAGCCTTGTCCAGGATTGGTTGAGCCATCTGTGGGCCGAGCTGTGTTTCGGTTTATGCACAAGGGAAGGAGGCTGGTAAGCAGTGCTTTTGGGTGTGGCATCTGCAAAACAGAAGAGCAAAGGAGAGTGACAGGTGGCTTCTGAGATAGGGGGTGGTGTCATATCCAAGGACACAGGGCGGAGTAGTCCCAGCAGTTGGCAAGCTTGGTGACCCTGTCTGACACTCACTTGGGCTGATGTGTGCACAGAAGCCCTGAAGTTGCACGCACGTGTGGGTATTGAGCTCCTTCCTCCCACCTTCTCTCCTGCTCCAGCATTTATCCAGTGCGCCAGGTTCTCAAGGTGCAGAGATAGGAAGGTGGAGAGCTAGCAGTCTCGGACAAGTAAATGTGAGCAGGACGGGCCAAGCAAGGACCTTGGGGTGCCCTGACAGCGTGAGGTGCAGGGACACAAGAGAGGGAGAGCTGGTTCTTCCTGGGGGAGCAGGAGGGAGAATGACAGGTGTGTGACTACAGGAGGTGCCTGAGGGCCCAGTGTGGACTTAGATGCAGGGTGCACTTAGGAGACTGGGGGCTGCAGGAAGAAAAGAGGGGCCGTGGGACCATCCTCCCTTGAGTGTGGCACCTGCATACCTCCCTCACTGAGCCTCTTTACGGGCTCCCCAACTGGCCCTGGCTCTACAGCTGGACTTGCTATGCCCTCCAACATACCCAGGGCCTTAAGACATGCTTTTGGGGGCTCATGTGGGCTCTCACCTTCCCAAGGCAAACAAGCACTGTCCCAGAGGTCCTTCTGAGCATTTGGGGGATCTCTTCTCTGTCTTTCTTTAAGTCTGAAAGAAACCTTGAGAAGTTGCCTTGCCAGTTTTGAGCCCTTGGAGGCTAGGAGGCAGCCAGTCTCACAGGCAGAAGATCCCTTACTTAAGCAGTCCCTCTGTGATATGAGCTGGTTTCCCCTTCTTCGTGGTTCAGAAAAGGACCCCCAAAACCACAGTGAAAGTTCCCGTGAGGGAAGTAAGGGGAGGCCGTGGTAAGGGTGGCGTGGAGCCCCAATGGAGGGGCCAGGGTTGTCACTGGCACACTTGGGGGTGGTTCTGAGGAGGAGGGCCTAGAGGTGGAGCAGCTTGGGGGGTGCATCTAGAGGGCCTGGCAGAGGACTTTGCGCAGCTCAGAGTGGGGTGTGGGGGAGCAGAATGCTGCACACATCGCACGCCCCTGGGAATCTTGGCTTGGTGCCACCCCCAAACTTGGCAGCTTTAGCACTGTTTACCATTCATCACAGTCTGTGGGCTCGCTAGCGCACCTAGGCTCTTTTCACTTGATGTCTCGGGGGGCGTTGCAGTGCAGTGGGGTTGGGGCGGGCGTCATCTGAAGGCACAGCTGGATCAGCTGTGTGAGAGCCCTCGGCTCGCAGGGCTGGGACGTGGGGTTGGCGGGTACCTGGGGGCCCGGGATGCTGTCAACTGGAGCCCCCACACCTGGCCTCTCGGTGGCATGGGGTTCTCTGAGCGCAGTAGCAGCAGCAAAGCTCTGATAGGAGAGGCAACCAGGCGCCTTCAGAGGAGCACACACAGCTGCCAGGCTCCTCAGGACTGTGCTATGGCGTTCCAGAACATTATTCCCCACATTCTATTGATCCGGCCTGTGTTCAGGGGAAGGGCACAGAGCCCACCTCTCCATGGGGGAGGACACAGTCCTCACCTCTCAACACAAAGAGGGCAGAGCCCCCATTCCTCAAGGGGCAGGAAGAGAGCCTACGAGCACAGGTGGGCAGAGCTGATGGCCTAGGCAGCTCACTGCCATGCTCCAGGTCCCAGAACACAGCCACCCTCATTTCCTGGCTGTGGGCGGCCCCAGTGCTCTCTGGAGACATCTTCTCCTTGTTAGGTGATAGTGGAGGTGGGGTCTCCAGAGCTGGTCCGGGCTCCAGCTGGAGTCTCGCTTCCATGAGGAGGGAGATGAGGGGGCTCAGGAGGCAGTCAGCGGGGGGAGGGGCGGGGGGTGTTACCAGCTGCTTGCCTTGCACAGAGAGCCGCAGGGCAGGGCCACAGACACAGGGACCTCACGCTGGGCCAGACAGCGGCCTTCACGTGGGAGCTTGTACCCAGCCCCAGGGTTCAGAGCAGAGGGGTGGCTGTAGTGGGTGGCAGCGAGGGGCATGGGGACAGAGTGTTTTAAGAAAGAGCGGCATCAGGGCGTTGGGGAATGCTGGTAGAGAGCAGGAGCACCTTTGGGATGGGTGGGCACTCTGACATGGTGTCACTAGGGCCTGGTCTGGGGCTCAGCTTCCGGCTTGGGTGTTTGCAGGATCACTGTCTGAAGCATGAAAGTCAGGAGGAGGCTACATGTGTAGGGGTGTGTTTTTGAACTCGTTCTCCCCTCTCTGTTCCTCTCTCTCAGGGTTCCCAGACCTGATTCCAACATCATGTAGGGGGCTCCCCAGACACAGCACACAATTATCAGACACCAGCAGGGTGTCTGAGAATTCAGTTCTGTTATGACCCTACGCCTGGAGACAGCATCAGACCCCACAGGTGACAGGTTTAGTCCTACAAGACTGCCCACCCCCAGCCCCACCTCAGAGGCCATCCCCAGGCCCAGCCAGCTGTGCTTCTGACCAGCCAGCTACAGATTGGAGGTTTCAACCACCTCCTCCTGAGGTTTGACTAATTTGCTAGCGTGGTCACAGAACTCAGGGAGACACTAACACTTACCAGTTCATTAAAGGATATAATAAAGGAAACAAATCAATAGCCAGAGGAAGAGGATACGTAGGGTAAGGTCCCAAACATCTGTCCTCATGGAGCCTGGGCCCTGCCTGGTGGCACATGGAAGTGTTCTGATTCCCCAAGCATGGAAGATCTCCAGAAGAGGGACCAGATGCCTGTCCTCTTGGGTTTTTCTGGAGGCTTCATTACACAGTTGTGATTGACCCAGTCATTGGCCATTGGCTCTTTCAACCTCCAGCCCCTCTTCCCTCTAGGGAGGTGGGGGTGGGACTAAAAATTTCAACCCTTAAGCCCGTGGTTGGCCCTCCTGGCAGCCAGCTCCCTGCCCCCCTCCACCTCGGGTGCTGTCCAAAAATCACCTTCATTAATAACAAGACACCTATTTCAACTCTCTGCCTCTGAAGCATTTTCAGGATCAGGTATCTCTGAGAAATGTATTTTGGTCATCTGATTTTATAAATCATTATATTGCACTCTCTCAAAAGAGCATGGTAGCTGTTCTGGAAACTGTGGGTGTGTTTCTCTAGGATAATACCCTGTCCTAAGAATAGCCACACGTTACAGTGATGACGTGGCCCCCCGAGACGGCCCATCAGAGACGGGGACACAGTGACCTGAGGCCTGCAACCTCGCTCTTGCTCTTGAGTTGCCATAGCTGGCACCCTCCCCATCTCTCTGACCCCACCTCAGACTTGCCCTAAGTGTGACCCTTGACGGAGCCACTTCCCTCTCCCCATCTGTGGGGCCTCAGAGGTGTGTGAGGGCTGACATGGCCAGTTAGAGTGCCAAGGAAATTCTGGGTATTCTAGGTGAAGCCTCCAGAATCAGAGTGATTTAAATGGTGTTTAATAAAAGGATTGGCCACGTTACGCACAGTTCAATAATAATGGTCCTGCACAACTCCAGTGAAATCTTGCCATCCTCTGTGGTTGGGGAGCGGGGTGCTGGGGTGTTTCTGCACTCGCTGGCAGGGTCCCTTTGGCCTTCATCGTGTGCTCCGTTGCCTTCTGTGGCTCTGGCCTCAGCTGTCTCAGGAGTGTGAGCTCTCTGCTTTGAGGAAAATCACGCATGGCCTGCGTGGGTTGCAGTAGTTACTTGGACTCTCTGAAGCCTGCTGAAGGGTAAACCTGACAGAATATAGCACGATTCTCCCTTGGCTGCAGTGGGAAGCTCAGGATAACCACTTTGAGGATACAGAACTGAGTCTTCCTGACTGTCTCTGTACAGAAGCTCTGGCCACACAGGAATTTGGCTGTCAGAATTCAAATGAATGGGTTCTTCATGAGCCCTGCCTTTAGCTGCAGATGCAGGGACCAGAGGAGGCTGGATGCCTTGTGTGCGCTTCCAGTTGTAGGCTGTCTGTAGGCACGGAGTCTTGTGTGTCTGGTAATGACCCCGTAGCGCTCAGCAGTCACACCAGGCCTGGCATGGCCTTCTCTCCTGGGGCAGCTGCATAGAGCCAGCCTGGGACTGAGGCTGACACAGTCCCAGCACTCCGAGGAGGTTCATCGCCTGCAGGAGCGGATGCAGTGGCTGGTGCCTCTGGACCTTGTGGACAGGCTGCAGCAGCTGCTGGAAGAGGAACGGCAGGTGGCTCGGCGGGTCCGCGAGGAGTGCCTTCTCCAGGAGGAGAAAGGGCGGCGGCTAGAAACACAGTGGGTGAGTGGGGACAAGGGCCTTGAGACCCTGCTGATGATGATGGCAGTGGTGAGGTTGCATCACTGGTCACGCAGCCGAAAACTGCCGTCCCAGCTCCTAGTGGTCTGGTCGTACAGCAGCCCCAGGATCCCAATTTTCACTCTGAACAGTGCGGGACTCTGTCGTCTGCCAAAGATGGATCGGGGTCGGGGGGGTGGCACCCACCCACTCAGGGAGTGATGAGCCAGCTGACCCGAAAGGTCTCTCCAGCCAAGGGGGGCTGCGAGGCTCTGTGGTAGGCCACATGACCACATGCTCGAGCTGTGCCCAGGGCCAGAAATGCGGTGATGCTGAGGCCATGAGTGAAGCTGGGGGCAACGGTCCCACCCGTGGAGCCCTGTGGGAGTTCTCCTGATTTCAAAGGAAAGCTGGAAACTGGATTTTTACATGAACAAGGCCAGTTTCCAAATGATGCATCTGATTTAAAAAGAATCTTAAATCATTTTGCAGAATGAAAAAAACCTACCCACAGGCACACAAGGACTGCAGAAGTCATTTATTGGGTGCACACGGATCTAGGTGTCGGAGATATAGAAATGAACACACACGGCAAAAACCTGTGCCCTCCTGGAGCCTACATTCTAGTGGTAGGGTGGGGGGAGACAAATGAAAACCTGAGTCATGAGGATAGCATGTCAGGTGGTGGGGAGTTGATGAGTGCTATGGAGCGGGATGCTTTGCAGTTAAAATAGGAGGCCAGAGAAGGTCTCCCCAATGTGTTACTTGAGCCAAGACTCAAAGGAGTTGAGGGAGCAAGGCTTCCACTTACCTGGGGAGAGTGCTTGAGAGGTAGCAGGAGCAACATGTGCCAAGGCCCTGAGGTGGGTATGTACTTGGCATGTTTAAGGAGGATGAGAGGGAGGCAGGAGGAGGGTGGTGGGACAAGAGGCCAGGGCGGAGTGGCACACATGTGGGGGCCCTGGCTGTGCGCCAGGCACTGCACTAGGCATCTGGAGACCTAGAAACAGAGCCGCTGCCTTAAAGGGGAGCAGGACACTGTGGCTGCAGAGGTTGGGATTCAGGCTCCACCACCTCCCAGCTGAGTGAGCTTGGCCAGCTACTTAACCTCTCTTTGCTTCAGTTTCCTCGTCTGTAAACGTCGGAGGCCAGTGGTCCCCACCTCAGAGCATTAGTGTAAGGCAACCGCCAGTTAGCACTTCTGACGTGCTCGAATAGTCTGGCCTGTGTGCACCCTATGTCAGTGTTTAAAAGGCTGAGAAAACTCCCTCCTGAAATGTCACAGTGCAGTTCATGAGGAAACCTTGGGTGGGAGAGGGTGTGGAGGTAGGAGCCCGAGGTCACGGGGTCGGGGGGCTCCATGAGGAAGAAATTAGAGCAAGACTCGAAAGGTGTAAGATTCAGTGTTTGTGAAGCATAAATTCTATAGAAGAATAATCTTTCAGCCTTGTGCAAAAATGTTAAGCAGGAGATAAGCTCAGCCATGATAGAATACTGACAACACAAAGAAATTTAATCAGAAGTCCTTTAGAAATATTCAGTAACACATTTGGGGAAACACACTTTGGAGTCATTTATGATTAAATTCTCAGGAAAGCAGGCCACTAATTCTCCTTGAACTACAAAGAGTGGTGTCAGCTTTTGGCTTGTGGTAGAACATTCTTTGTTTCTCTCTGCAGATGAAGGGTTATCTCCAGTCACTCCCAGATTTGTACATTTTAGCTAATTTCCATTCTGAAGTAAGTAAGCCTGATAACGATTCTTTTTGAAATGTAAACTATTGGCCCATAACCTTTTGTGGCAGGAAGAACATGAAAAAGAGCTTAAAGACACCAAAGAGCAGGTAGAAGAGGTGGGAATGGTTCTGAAGAATGTGGAAACGCTCCTACAAGAAAAAGTGGCCGAGCTGAAAGAGCAGGTCAGTGACGGGCGTCTGTCATTGCCACATGTACTTTCTGAACTTTTTCCTTCTGTGGTATTCAAGTAACTATCCCAGGGTGAGTCTGTCCTCATAGAACACGGAGAGAGCCCCATGTTCGTTTGGAACTACTGAACCTGGGGCTTCATCTAAACTTTGAGAATCTGAATATACAGATTTTTTTCAGAAGATGAATGGTTAAAAGCAATCAATAGAAAAACTGATTTTGTTAAATATGTACCCTAAATTATATTTGTGTACATTGTGTTTGTTTTGGGAATTGTTTTAAGGTACATTTGAGAGGTGTTCACATAATCTCAGGACATTCATTCATTTGTTCAGTCATTGGGCAGGTATTTACTGAGCACCTGTCATGTGTCCCGGCATTCATTGTTCTGGGAAGACCTTGAGATGGGCCCTCATGGGCCTTACATTCTGGAGGTGGAGACAGACCATAACAAGAGAAATGACTTCAGGTTGTGAGAAATGCTCGCTCTGAAGAAGAAGAGATGGTGGTGGATGGGAAGTGGTGGGGATGGTTGGGGATCACTCTCTTCAGACATGGTGGGGCAGACACCAACGACCGCCATGGAGGGTGTGGCTGTGCCCCCGAGCTGAGGCCAGGTTGGCTTTTTGGAAGGGATAAGTGCTCATTGGGTGGGACTTTGCTACGCAGTGTAGGCACCCTCATGTCTCCATGTGTGCCGGGGGACATGCCAGAACCCCGACAAGGAGGGGCATCCAGGCAGAGTTGCAGTGCAGGCCAGTGTCCTTAGACGGGACCAAGTGCAGCACGTCAGCAGGCCTCCAGGGAGGCTATTGTAGCTGATGGGTAGGCAGGACTCCCTCAAAGTCAGGAGTTTTCTTTTATTTTAGTTGCAGTTAGAAGCCACCAGAGGATTTTAAGCAAGAGCATGATATGATCTATATATTTTTAAATAAATCACTCTGGGGGAGAAAGGAAAAATTTGGGCTGCTATAGGGAGCAAAGACCAAAAAAAGAAGGCTAGAGCTGTTGTGATTGATGAAAGCTTACAGTCCAGTTCAGCCAGCACAGTCCACTGGTAAGAATGGGCAACGGAGCAGCCAGCACAGAGGGTGCTGGGGGGGGGGGTGGAGGGGAACAAGGCTGGAAACAGGCAGGAGATACAGAGAAAAGGCTTAGCCAAACACCAGCTAGTCTTAGAAGAGTTCTATTCAGAGCTGGAAGAAATTGTGAGAATCTGTAGAAATATTTTTATTACACTAATCACGTATGTTTAGAGGGTGCCTGAACTAAGCCCAAATGGGATGAAACATTTGCACCACCTCTTGTTCCCTGGGAAGTAGGAAGTCCTGGGGGGAGACACAACCCCCTCCTTGGCCATCTTCCTGGCCTTGCAGCTTCCTCGCTGCCATTCATGGACTCCCTAGCTGTGTCCCTGGCCAAGTGTCACAGACTCTCAGTGACCTCTGCCCCTCACCTTACAGTCATTTTCTTGCAGGCACCCTCAGTTTGCTTCCTCTTGTCTGGCAAATCCTCAGTCCTGGTGAAATCCTGTGGCTCCTGCACCCCTGTCCTTGTGAGGTCCCGTCCATAGTCCCACGCCGCCCCCCCACGCCGAACTAGCTTGTGCTCTGGCCAAGTGAACCAGCCGCCTGTGTCTGCGCATGTACCACCGTGCCCAGCCCCTCCCTTCTCAGGGACCCTCAGCCCCCGAACCCAAAGCTTAGGGAGCCCTGGCCCTGCCTCTGCTCCTCTTTACAGAAGTACCTGTGAAGGATTGTCTGCACACTCTCACCTGCCCTCCCTTGTGTTCCCCCATGCCACTGGCTCAGGTCGATTTTGGGGGTTGTGATGGATGCCCCCACTGTGTCCCCAGTGAGCCTGTCAGCTCAGCCCCTTCTCGCCCCACCTGCCAGCACTCCCACCTTCATCCTCTGAGCGCTGCAGTGTCCTTGTTTCCTCCTGTGCTCTGTTCTCAGCACGGGAATGGCAGCAGCGCTTTCCCAGCATGACTGAGGTGCTGGCCCCTCACCCCTCCAAGCCTGCCACAGCCCGCAGAGTACAAGGCAGAGATCCTCTAGGGGCCTCCAAGGCTCTGCGGGCTCTAGCCCCCTCCCCTCAGTGCCTGTGCAGTCAGTGTGACAGCTCTAACCTCCTCTCAGTGGGCCTCCCACTGCCGTGCCCCCCAGCCACAGGCCTCTGGCCATTCCTGCCACCCCCTAGCCTGGTCAGCCTCCGGGCCTGTGCACCTGCTTCTCTCTTTGCCTGGAATGCACGCCCGAACAGCCTCAGCACTCTTTCCCTGCCTTATTCAGATCTCTGTTCATGTGTCAACAGAGAAGCCTTCCCTGTTCACCCCAACAAAAGTACGAACTCCCTCCTCAGCTGTCTGTCCCCTCCCAGTGAAACCAGTAACCAGAGAGTTAATAGGACGGCCAAATGCAGCTGTAACTTTTCACCCTGACCTTTTTTGTTTGCCTGTAAACATGTCTGACTCCTTGGGGGAGACAGATTTGAGTCTTGCCCTCCCGTCTCTCTCCTTTCCTCGCCACGCACTCCATGCTCAGGGATTATTTTCGCTGTGCATCGGGCAGGCGGACTTGGGTTTGGTTTCACAGTTTTCTCTTAGCACTTGTCATGCCTCCACACTACATGTTTGTTTCTGGCCTGCCTGCTTCCATCAGAGTACGCACTCCTGAGAGCAGGGCCCTTGCGAGGTCCTGGCACTACTTGTTCAGTGAGTGAATGCAGTTTTGACTTTCGAAGCCCAAGGCCAGGCCCCCTGTGCCTTTGTAGCTAGAGTGGCCTTGTGTCCCCACTGCTGTGGCTGGGGTGTGTGGTGACACAGCCCATGCACCCAGTGCTTTGAGGGTGGACGCAGGGCTGAGGTAAGTCCTGGGTGACACGGTGGGTCAGCAGAGCACACAGAAATGAACCAGAATGACATGTTTTACATTATGCTAGATCGTCCTTGTTGAGGTTGGTGATTGTAGTCTTTTTATATCTTCATTTCATGGTAAAATCTACTCTCACAAACTTGACTTCAATTTTCTCTACCACATAATTCATCAGATTCTCAATTTCCTCTTTCATGCCAGGGTAAGAAAAATCGTCATTCCACCCAGGGTTTGTCTCAGATGCGTAAGAGCCCCAAATCTGTGGTCTGAACACATGAAAGGGTGGGAGGGCCAAGCTGTGATGCAGCATTTCTGCACAAGAGTCACAGGAATTGGGCACGTTCTGCGTGGAGCATTGGGTGTTATGCACAAACAATGAATCATGGAACACTGCATCCAAAACTAATGATGTAATGTATGGTGATTAACATAACAATAAAAATTTTCAAAAAAAGTCACAGGAAAGTGTGGTTCTCTTTCCTCTCTAGTTTGAAAAGAACACAAAGTCCGATTTGCTGCTCAAGGAGTTTTATGTGGAAAATGCTCACCTGACGAAGGCACTTCAGGTCACCGAAGAGAAGCTACGAGGTGCAGAGAAGAAAAATCGCATCTTGGAAGAAAAAGTTAGAGCTCTCAACAGACTCATCAGTAAGATCGCTTCAGCTTCCCTCTCTGTGTGAAGGCTGCTTGTTTTCCTGGAATTCATTTCAAAAGAACATCTTTTAAAATTAAGCCACCGTGGTGCCATAATTTTCTAGGGTTCATTGGCCATGCCCCGGGCATAGGAGGTTTCTGATTCTTCTTTGTTCACCTCACACACATTTAAAAATATCTGTTGTGCCAGATGCTCAGAAAATAGACATGCTGGAAAAGATGACATTTTTATTAGTGGTCCTGGGTAATTTCTCTAGGTAAAATTCCCAGTTTTGCTACCAATGGGTGAAACAGATTATGGCAGCTTTCAGCGAAGAAAGACTAAAAGAAAATGGTAAAATCAATTTCAGTGTTGTACTTTTGACCTTGGCTGCAGAGAGTAAAATGAAAAATAAGTGCTCTGGACAGTTTCACCCTTTCACTGTTACTGCTTTGGGTTCGGATCATTAGCATTCTCAGTGTGGCTACACAGACGTTCTAGAAAGACTACTCGCTGTGCCTGTCAGCCCTGCTCCACAGGAAGATGTTTGGGGAGGGCTTATTTTAAGTCTGTGGACTCAGGGATGATAGTATTTATTGCGAATGCAATCTTTTCCTCAATGAAATGTCATCACACTGGAAATTGTATTAAATGTAAAGAAAAAAGAACTATAGTTTTATATCCAAAATATATATAGGTATGGTCATTTGGTTTATGAGAATAAACTACTGTACTATGAAGAGTCACTGTATTTACAAAAACTCTTTTCTGTTAAAATTGTTTTAACTTCTAGGTTTAACTTTTTTTTTTAAAGATTTTATTTATTTGACAGAGAGAGCACAAGCAGGGGGAGCAGCAGAGGGAGAGGGTGACACAAGCTGCCCACTGAGCAGGGAGCCCAACACAGGGCTCAATCCCAGGACCCCGGGACCATGATCTGAGCTGAAGGCAGACGCTTAACCGACTGAGCCACCCAGGCGCCCCTAAGTTTAACTTTTTTTAATTAAATATTTCAAACAAATAGAAAAATAGTTTAATAAGAAACACTCCTGTGCCCATCAATTAGAAGTATTAGATAGAGGTGTAGACCCTGCTCTGTTGCTCTCAACCTCCTTCCCCTTCCTGCAGGCAGCCACTACCCTGAAGTTGCTGTGCTCTGTCCCCTTCTGTCTGTACATTTACTATATGTGCTTGCATAAGAACAACCTTAAAGCACTATGGAAAGGCACAAAAGACTGGAATAGGGGTGCCTGGCTGGCTCAGTCAGTAAAGCATACAACTCTTGATTTAGGGGTTGTGAGTTCAAGCCCCATGTTGAGCATGGAGTCACCTAAAAAAGAGACTGGAATAGATGGAAAGATCAGTTCTTGGATAGGAAGATTCAACAGCATAAAGTTGGTTCTTCTCAGTTAACTGATTAATGTAATATAGCCCCAATAAAAATACAAGTGGGTATTCCCTGCCCCATTGACCCCTTGTCCCAGAGTCAGACAGGTCTAAAGTTTACATGTACAGCCAGATAAGCGAATAATAGAGAAAATTGAAAAAAGAAGAGCAATGACTGCGAACTAGTTCTACTAGTTATTAAAACGGTCTCAATAAAGTTTAGGTTACATGGTTGTATACGTTTGTCAAAACTCATCAAAGGGCACACTTCTTCATTCACTGTGGGCTTCTGGCTGGGACTAGAGTAACAAGGAGATTGGATCTAGTAGTCCTGAACAACACTATCAAACAACTGACATTTATAGAACCCAACAACAGCTGAAGTGCACCTGAACATTTACCAAGATAGACCATATTCGGGATGCCTGGGTGGCTCGGTTGTTCAGCGTCTGCCCTCGGCTCAGGTCATGATTCCAGCATCCTGGGATCAAGCCCCACATTGGGCTCCCTGCTCAGTGGAAAGCCTGCTTCTCCCTCTCCCACTCCCCCTGCTTGTGTTCCCTCTCTCGCTGTGTCTCTGTCAAATAAAATCTTCAAAAAAAAAAAAAAAAAGGGCGCCTGGGTGGCTCGGTCATTGAGTGTCTGCCTTCGGCTTGGGTCGTGATTTCGGGGTCCTGGGATCGAGCCCCACATCGGGCTCCCTGCTTGGCGGAAGTCCTGTTTCTCCGTCTCCCCCTCCCCCTGCTTGTGTTCCCTCTCTCGCTGTGTCTCTCTCTGTCAAGTAAATAGAATCTTTAAAAAGAAAAAGACCGTATTCTGGGAACTTGAAAAAAGCTGCAAAAAAATCAAAAGTATTTAAGTCATACAAAGTATATTCTCTGACCACAAAGGAATTAAATTAGGAATCAAGACCAGAATGATTATTTGGGAAATCCCCAAAATTTGGCAATAATACACTGTTAAATAACCCAAGCACCATCAGAGGAGAAATTAGAAAATATTTTGAATTGAATGAAAATGAAAATACAGTATGCCAAATTTTGGGGTGGAGCTAAAGCATTACTTTGGGGAAGATTCATAGCACTAAATTCCTGTATTAGAAAAAAGGTCTCAAATCGATGACCTGAGCTTCCACCTTAAATAACTAGAAAAAGAAGAGCAAATGAAACCCAGAGTAAGTAGAAGAAAGGAAAAAATGAAGATCACAGTAGAAGTCAAGGAATAGAACAGGAACCCTCATGCAAGGAATTAAGCCTAGCCCTGGGGCCTGTTTTGTAAATAGTTTGATTGGCACAGCAAACTACACCTCCTTTTGCGCTCAGCATCAGAAACTGTGGCCCACAAAGTCTAAAACACAGAAAAAGTTTGTTGACTCCTGCAATAGAAAACAGGAAAAAAAAAAGGCCAATGAAACCAAAAGTTGGTTCTTTGATAACATTGATAAAGTTGATAAACCTCTAGCCAGAATGATTGGGATAAAGGAGAAAAAAATTTTTACCAATATTAGGAATCAGAGAGGTGACATCACTGCAGAATCTACAAAATCATAAGGCAATATTATGAACATTATGACAATAACTTCAACAACTTAGACAAAATGCAGAGGACAGAAAATACCAAAGCTTATCCTGGAGGAAGAAACAGCTCTATAAAAGAAATTGAACCTTCCCACAAAGAAATTCCAGGCCCAGATGTTTTAAACATGAATTCTACTGAACATTTAAGAAGGAAATAATATGAAGTCTGTACACTCTTTCAAAAAACTGAGGAGGTAGTATTTCCCAACTCTTTCTCTGACAGGGTTACATGGTCTTCCGACATAACAAGAATACTACAAACCCATATCCATCATGAACACAGATGCAAAAATTCTCAATATTTTAGCAAATCAAATCCAACAAAAAAGTATCAGTGCATCATGACCAATTAGGAGTGCACAGTTGGTTTAACATTGGAAAATCAGCCACTGAAATTCACCATATTAACAAATTAAAAGAAAAAAAAAACATGATCATCTCAATTAGATGCATAAAGGGGATATGACAAAACCCAACATCCGTTCCTGATAGAAACTCACAGGGAACTAGGAATAGAAGGGGGTTTCCTTAACCTGATAATGGGCATCTACAAAAAACTCAGCTGAAGTTATAGTTAATATAAAAGACGGAATGCTTTCCTCCTAAGATCAGACACAAGATGCGGACTTTTGACCACTTTTATCTAGTACTCTCCTGGAGGTTCTAACCAGTGCAGTCAGGCAAGAAAGAGAAAGACAAGGCATCCAGGTTAGAAACGAAGGAGTAAAACTCTATTCACCGAAAACATGACCATAGATGTAGACAATTTTTTTAAAGGATTTTATTTATTTATTTGAGAGAGTGAGAGAGGGAAAGAGCACAGAGGAAGAGGGAGAAGCAGACTCCCTGCTGAGCAGAGAGCCCAGTGCATGGCTCAATCCCAGGACCTGAGCCAAAGGCAGATGCTTAACCGACTGAGCCACCCAGGGGCCCCTGAAACTTTTTTTTTTTTTAAGATTTTATTTATTTATAAATGGGAGGATGAACTTTGTTTATGGGCCAGAATATCTTCAATATTGTTAAGATGTCAATTCTCCCCAAACTGATACACAGATCCAGTGCAGTCTTAATTACAATAGGTTTGATTTTGGCAGAAACATCCTAGATTTCATATGAAAAGCAAAAGACTTTACATGCCTAAGACAAATACGAAAAAGAAGAAATTTGGACCATTAACACTATTTGAGGAATTATTATAAAAGTTACATACACTACATAAAAATAGCATGGGTATTGGTGTCAATATAGAAAAACAGATCATTAGAACAGAACAGAGTCCAGAAATAAGCCCACACATATACATTTTGTTGTTTACAGTGGAGAAAGGATAGCCTTTTCAACAAGTGGTGCTAGAAGAGGATGGCCACATGCTTCCTCCTTCCTCCGCCCAGAGTAACCTTGGGTCCATACCTTGTACCACATACGAGAATTAACTCAAAATGGATCCTAGACCTAAGGGTAAGCCTAAAACTATAATACTTCTAGATAAAGGAAAAATCCTTGTTACCTTGGGCTGGGACAAGATTTTTTAGATATGACACCAAAAGCATAAAAGAACAAATGAATACATCAGATTTTTATCAAAACTAAAATGTTTGCTCTTCAAAATATACTGTTAAGAAAAATGAAAAGACAAGCCAGAAACTGGGAAATAATATTTGCAAAGCGTACATCTCATAAAGGACTTATATCCAGAATATATAAAGAACTCTCAAAACTGTAAGAAAACAACACAGATTTTTTTTTTAAAGGACACATTTTTGGAAAATTCACCAAAGATAGATTCCAAATAATCACATGTAAAGATAGTCAACATCATTAGTCATTAGGGAAATGCAAATTAAAACCTCAACAAGATGGCATTACACATGACACACTAGTAGAATGGCTAAAATTAAAAAGACGAATACCAAGTGTTAGCTAAGATGTGGAGGAACAGGAGCTCATACGTTGCTGGTGTGAATTAAAAATGCACAACCACCTTGGAAGACAGTTTAGCAGTTTCTTAAAAAGTTAAACATATATAGGGATGCCTGGGTGGCTCAGTTGGTTAAGTGTCTGCCTCCAGCCCAGGTCATGATCTGGGTGTCCTGGGATCAAGCCCCACATTGAACTCCCTGTGGGGAGTCTGCTTCTCCCTCTCACTCTGTCCCTTGCCTCTGCTCGTGCTCTCTCTCAAATTTTAAAAAAATCTTTAAAAAATAACTTCTAGTCATTTGCCCAAAAGAAAATATATGTCCGTTAAAGACTTGTATGCAAATGTCCTGGCATATTTTTTTTTGTTAATAGCCAAAAACTGGAAACAACACACTATTAGCAAGGATGGAGGGGGGGAGGGCATAGTTACTATCATTCATTTCTGATGGTAATGCAAATTATTATAATTCCTATGTATTTTGACAAGAGCAATAAAAGTTGTAATTATCCTACTTATAAAGCTGCATTATGTATAAAATGATATATATACCAGCTTTCTCACATTAGCTTTGTCTGTAGTAGCAAAAGGCTGGAAACAATTTAGTGTCCATCAACAGGGAACTAGATTTTTAAGAAAAAGTATTTAACACCCTGTATTAGTTTGCTAGGGCTGCCATAACAAAATCACAGACTGGGTTGCTGGAACAGAAACGTATCTTCTTGCAATCCTGGAGGCTGGAACTCAGGTTGTTCTTGTTTTTTTAAGGACTCTCCCCTTGGCTTGCAGACACACACCTTTTCTGTGTGTGTTCACATGGTCAGCAAAATCAAAATGAAACAATGAGGTTATATAAATATTA